GTTTCAAATTCAACCAATCAAATGGACGTCTGGAGAAACCCGAACAGCCCAGCCGTTAGAAGTTAAGAATTTATGAAATTTTAGCGAGCAATCTCATTGGAACAAAGTAGGGATATTCAAAAAGAGTGAACAAGAGCGGATCAAACAGAAATCATAAGTGTCAATATTTATCCAATTTAAAAGTTTTCAGCTCAGATTCTAAATTTTCATTAATAAAAAGTGTCGCTTTTTATTATAAAATATGTAATTTTTCACCACAAAATATTAAAAAAATTCGACCCAGTTTCGCCTCTAGTTTTGTTTGTTTAAATTCTAATGGACGGGCAATAGAAATTATTTGCTTTAGATCGTTTTTAAACAAATCCCAACCCTACTCTCTAGCACTAGAATTATATCATTTTCTTCTCAATATATTTCGCCAAAAACTTTGGCATCATCAGGAGTTTGTCCTTACTCTTTTGAAGAGTATTGAATGAGTATTGAAATTATTTGAAATAGTTTTAAAAATCGTTTAATTTTTTAACTTCTACTCCCCCCTCGCTGACACCCCTCACATAGATCGGTTGTGTGTACGTGAACATGATTGCGCACCTTTGGACTTTTTTATGCTCAGTAAATGCAGTAAATGCAGTTTTAAAACTGCATTTCTATTGCCTTAGGATGTGTCATGATATCCATGCATGTATAAGTTCGGCTTTAATTTGACTTATGATGTAACCCCCCCCCCCTTCAATTTAGATTTCACTCGTGAAAGTGAAATAAAATTTAAATTTTCTTATCAAATTAATTTATTGTATTTTGGTAAACCACATTTTGTCCCGTGTCATAATTTATTATTTTATGATTGATAATTTATTTGATATTTAATGAGATTTAACCAGGGGGGTTTAATATATCTAATTTTATGTCTTACTGTAGAATTTTCACCTTTTTAGAATTGAAACATTGAAATAATAAAACATTAAGCGTTTTATCTCGTTACATGACACAATAAAATAAACGTTCTTTAAATAATGTCACATATTTTATTAAAAAAAAATTAGATTAGCGATAAACTTTATGGTATAGAACAAATAATATATATAAATATATACAGGGTGAGTGAAAAAAATGTGATTTGCGGCGTCTGGTGCAAACATTTTTGTTCATCTCTCCTGTATGGTGTTTTTTTCAATATTTTTTGAAAATTTGAAATTTTTTGGTACTCCNGCTACCTCAGGTAAACTTTAACTTTAGGTTTATTGGTATAATCTTAATAATTGTAAACTATAGACCCCCTCCCTTTTTAAATACAATCCCGCTACCTCAGGTAAACTTTAACTTTAGGTTTATTGGTATAATCTTAATAATTGTAAACTATAGACCCCCTCCCTTTTTAAATACAATCCCGCTACCTCAGGTAAACTTTAACTTTAGGTTTATTGGTATAATCTTAATAATTGTAAACTATAGACCCCCTCCCTTTTTAAATACAATCCCGCTACCTCAGGTAAACTTTAACTTTAGGTTTATTGGTATAATCTTAATAATTGTAAACTATAGACCCCCTCCCTTTTTATACATCAACCTTAGAGACAGACAATACTTACGTTATACAATATTTAGTTCGTTACTATTGGATTCCCATGGGATTTAATCACGCGGAGCCACCATAGCGAGCATAGCCCCCCCCATTGAAACCCTCTGACCCCACTCGTGAGCACCTTCTTAGAGTTTTAATTGTAACGTCCGGGAAAAAATATTTATTTTATACCCCCGGATATAATTCTGGTTAGTTCTTCTAGAATTGTTAGGATATTATAACATTCTTGGATAGTTTCAAAACATTTAGAAAAATCGTCGTATGTTGAAAATTAAACAAATTTTTTGAAAATTTAATGAAAATACGAAAAATCATCTTAACAGATCTATATAATAAAACAAGACATTCGTATATATATGTTGCGTATAGCCGGCCAAACGGCTGGGCCGATTGGGCTGAATTTTTTTCTTGACACTCGTGGGTGGCCGGGGGGATAGGCTAAAAAGAATCCAAAAAAAAATTTCTTGATGGTTTTGTCCACGGGCAACGCCGGGCCTTCAGCTAGTATTCAATATAGCTAAGAGATGTAAGCGAAGTTATATCTATATAACAAGAATACAAGGAAACTGCAGAAATATCTATACAATACATATTTAATTCTCTACTATAATAATACTAAGAATATAGATATTCAGGGTGGCCAAAATGTACGGATTGTACGGATTGTACGGATTGATTTTTTTTAACCCTAAAATTGTACGGATTGTACGGATTGTACGGATTGTACGGATTTGTTTTCAAATTGTACGGATTGTACGGATTTCTTCTGAAAATGTACGGATTTTTGTACGGATGGGTTCAAAAAAGTTTTGGCCACCCTGGATATTCTTAGTGCTCTTGTAATACTAAACCTCTTGGTTATATGAGCGACTAGGGAGAAGGGGGGGGGGGTTGCACCCCCTGATGGGGGGGATATAACTTAATTTTACAACTGGAAGAGAACTATTCTCCAAGGAGTATTAATACTTGGGCGAGGTTTGATTAAACCTAGAGATATATAGTTCTACTCTAGGATATATAGTTCTACTCTTGGATATATAGTTTTACTCTAGGATATATAGTTCTACTCTAGGATATATAGTTCTACTCTAGGATATGTAGTTCTACTCTAGGTATAGTTGCAACCAGGGATAGGAGAAGGAGGGGGGTGGGGGGTATACCTAGAGCTATATAGTTTTACTCTAGGATATATAGTTCTACTCTAGGTACAGGTGGAACCAAGGAGAGGAGAGAGGGGGTATATTAAACCATATCTTAGGTTTGATTATTAGAGGTTGTGGGACTCTTTTAGGGAGTGATTTAGAAAGAGAATAAGGTTTTTTTGAAGATATCTAGCTTCATACGTTTATATACGAAACTAAATTGCAGGTTAATGATATTGGGTTCCACCTTAAAGAATTTATTAACAATTTATTATTTTAGTTGCGTTCACTGAGCTACCCAAATTCAATCCTCGAAGAAGAGTGTCTAATGCCCCTCTTTCAAGGTAAAAATCTGGAATTAATGTTTAATTTTTTTTAAAAATTTCATTATTTTTTGTTTTTCAGAACGATGTCTGATTGTGGTAGTTTGCAGTACGATACACTGAGAAGGATAGAATCCCCACTTACGGGGTACATCATCAAACCTTCATCTCCTTCCCTTTCAGACAGGTATCTTACTTTCCTTTTTCACAGATACCTTCCTTTTCTTTTATACAGGTACCATCCTTCGCTTTAAGATAGGTACCTTCCTTCCCTTTTGGATAGGTACCTTCCTTTCCTTTTGCACAGGTACTTTCTTTTTCTTTTACACAGGTACCTTCCTTTCCATTTACTCAGGTACCTTTCTTTCCTTTTACACAGGTACCTTCCTTTCTTTCTATACAGATACCTTCCTTTTCTTTTAGACAGGTACCTTCCTTTCCTTTTAGATAGGTACCTTCCTTTCTTTTTACACACCTTCCTTTTCTTTTAGACAGGTACCATCATTCCTTTTACATTTTCACAGATACCTTTCTTTCCTTTTGCACAGGTACCTTCCTTTCCTTTTACACAGGTACCTTCCTTTCCTTTTACACAGGTATACCTTCCTTTTGTTTTACACAGATACTTTCTTTTCCTTTCACACAGGTACCTTCCTTTTCATTTACTTAGATACCTTCCTTTTCTTTCAGAAAGTTTCCTTCCTTCCCTTCCATAAAGGTTCCTTCCTTTCCCTTTCAGAAAGGTTCCTTCCTTACTTTTCAGAAAGGTTCCTTCATTCATTTTCAGAAAGTTTCCTTCCTTCCCTTTCAGAAAGGTTCCTTCCCTTTCAGAAAGGTTCCTTCCTTCCCTTTCAGACAGGTTCCTTCCTTCCCTTTCAGAAAGGTTCCTTCCTTCCTTTTCAGAAAGGTTCCTTCATTCACTTTCAGAAAGGTTCCTTCCTTCCCTTTTAGAAAGGTTCCTTTCCTTTCAGAAAGGTTCTTTCCTTCCCTTTCAGACAGGTTCCTCCCTTCCCTTTCAGAAAGGTTCCTTCCCTTTTAGAAAGGTTCCTTCCCTTTTTAGAAAGGTTCCTTCCCTTTCATAAAGGTTCCTTCCTTCACTTTCAGAAATGTTCCTTCCTTCCCTTTCAGACAGGTACCTTCCTTTCCGTAAGGTACCTTCCTCCAAATAGAGTCCTGTAAGTACATACAGCATTACTGTTCTCAACAAAATTGTGTAGAATGTTACTATACTTCCACCTTTCTACCCCTCACCCCTCCATCTCATTATAATCCACCTTTCTACCCCTCACCCCTCCATCTCATTATAATCCACCTTTCTACCCCTCACCCCTCCATCTCATTATAATCCAACTTTCTACCCCTCACCCCTCCATCTCATTATAATCCACCTTTCTACCCCTCACCCCTCCATCTCATTATAATCCACCTTTCTACCCCTCGCCCCTCCATCTCATTATAATCCACCTTTCCCATGTTAATATCCACTCATATACTCTAGTTTCAAGCTAAATTACCCAGTTGGTAAATTAGTTGTAATTTCTTTCATGATCAAGGGTTAAAGTTTGAACTTGAACTTGCAACTGCTAATCCCTAAATTCTGATTTATCTTATCATTAATCTTTATCAAATACTAAGTACATGATTAGGTCAGGTGGTGTGACATGCATGATTTTATTTTTTGCAAGTTTTTATTTTTTTGCAAAGTTCAGCTGTAATAATTGCTTATTTCCATAAAATTATTTAACCTTTTGTAATATTTTTTATATATTTTATACTATACATGGGTATTATAAGTTTTAGAAAATTATATTCTATTCACTATAATAAAAGACACAAGACATTGGTTGCCGTTTATGTATGTTGAACAATAATCCTTCGCTTTTGTTTTGAAATATTTAAGTTTTTACTGACTTGTGAATATTAGATTTCATTACAAACGATAAAAACATGATTCAGAGCAAGCAAATACGTCACTCATCGTTAAGTTTTACAGAGATTTATGTAGAAACCATTTTTAAAGAAATATTTAAATTTGTGGAATATTAAGAGAATTATTCTGTCCTTATTCTTTTACACTGTGCAATTAATAAACCATTTTCCTTTATTCCTAATGGTTGATTCGATAAAAAAAAATAAAAATAAAACTTGGCTTGATTATTTTTTCATTTAATTTAAGATACATATAGTTTAAATAGTTACAAGAATAAAAGTTCCCATTTTAAATATCAAATCCCTCCCCCCTCCCCCCTCAGCCTCCTTTTATAGTAAAAAGTTAAGAAGCATTGAATTATTAGGTAGCTGTAATTAAGGGCAATTAGCTGTTAATTAACTTGCCACAATATGTTTGATTTAGATCAAAGCAACTAGAAGAAAGGTTATAATTGCAACCCCTCCAGAAGAAAGATTATAATTGCAACATCTCTAGAAGAAAGGTTATAATTGCAACACCTCTAGAAGAAAGATTATAATTGCAACACCTCTAGAAGAAAGATTATAATTGCAACACCTCTAGAAGAAAGATTATAATTGCAACACATCCAGAAGAAAGATTATAATCGCAACATCTCTAGAAGAAAAATTATAATTGCAACACCTCTAGAAGAAAGATTATAATTGCAACACCTCTAGAAGAAAGATTATAATTGCAACATCTCTAGAAGAAAGGTTATAATTGCAACACCTCTAGAAGAAAAATTATAATTGCAACACCTCTAGAAGAAAAATTATAATTGCAGCACCTCTAGCCATTCATAAATTAAAAAATCTAGTGATTCCGTTTACAACAGTGCCTTTATAAGCTTTGCATGATCTGCCTGAATGAAATATCTAAGTTTTTCTTTTTGAAAAGATTAAAGGAGGCTTATTAAATTAGAAACAACGGAGGAAATTTTTCAAAATTAACATTTTTCTAGCCAGAAAACGACAATATTTTCCTCCTTCTAGTTCAGCTGAAGGTGTAAAGAGTACCGTTGTGAGTAGTGCATGCCTCTTCAAATTAATTGTCACTAAAAATTACCATTAATATTTTTTGGGATGGAAATCATTTAACGCCTAAAGAAGGAAATTAAACAATTTGTCAATTTCGAGTTTTGACCACCCCTTGGCTAAACTTTGATTCTGGATGTTTTACAACAATATTTTGTTTTCAGATCCCTTCCACCGTTTTCTTCTGGCAGCTCAGTCTCTGGGACTTCCACTGGTAAGTTTTTGTTTTGTTTTGTAACCTACTTTTTAGATTAATTAATTGTTGACTATTTGATTGTTACGTTTTTTTGATTAATTACTTGTGGATGTTTTTTTTTAGATTTTTTTTCCAATGGTTAATTAATTTACTGATTGGTTGAATGATTGATCACTCGATTCCGTAAGAAATGAAATAATTTTTTTAATGATTTGATATTTACTTAATTAATGAATTTATTAGGATCTGGAGGTTCTAACTCCACCAGCCAAGAAGAACAATTGGACTCGGCTTCAACCCTAGCAGCTAGTATGACAGGTAGGTCAACCCTAGCAGCTACTCAGACAGGCAGGTCAACCCTAGCAGCTAGTATAACAGGTAGGTTAACTCTAGCAGCTAGTATGACAGATAGGTCAACCCTAGCAGCTAGTCAGACAGGCAGGTCAACCCTAGCAGCTAGTATAACAGGTAGGTTAACTCTAGCAGCTAGTATGACAGATAGGTCAACCCTAGCAGTTAGTATGACAGGTAGGTCAACCCTAGCAGGTAGTATGACAGGTAGGTCAACCCTAGCAGCTGGTATGACAGGTAGGTCAACCCTAGCAGCTGGTATGACAGGTAGGTCAACCCTACCAGCTAGTATGACAGGTAGGTTAACCCTAGCAGCTAGTATGACAGGTAGGTCAACCCTAGCAGCTAGTATGACAGGTAGGTTAACCCTAGCAGCAAGTATGACAGGTAGGTCAACCCTACCAGCTGGTATGACAGGTAGGTCAACCCTACCAGCTAGTATGACAGGTAGGTCAACCCTAGCAGCTAGTATGACAGGTAGGTTAACCCTAGCAGCAAGTATGACAGGTAGGTCAACCCTACCAGCTAGTATGAAAGGAAGGTCAACCCTAGCAGCTAGTATATGACAGGTAGGTTAACTCTACCATACATTATCTACTCAGAGACAAATATTTTATTTCCCTTCTTTATTTCATTTTTCTCCCTTATTTTGCTCCAAAGAGACTTAAAGCAAATTATTATAATATTATTTTGAGAGATGAAAGTTGAAGTCCTTATCATTACTTGTGTTCTCCCTTTTTTTGCTCTTAATTTTATCTTCAATTAAAGCAAATTGTTAGAATATTATTATAAGATTATATTTCTTCCTTTTAGGGAATGAGGATGTTCTCTCTCTAAGCTCTGGTGTAGGAACTTCCTCTAATAGTGGTAGCGGAGGGTCAGCAGCTACTCCAACCGGCAGGTGGGTCAGCATAGTCCTGTCAGGTTCCTTTCTAGTCCTTTTAGAATCCAGCCTAGTCCTTTCAGGATTATTTCGAGTCCTTTAAGAATCCAGCCTAGTCCTTTCAGGATTCTTTCTAGTCCTTTAAGAATCCAGCCTAGTCCTTTCAGGATTATTTCGAGTCCTTTAAGAATCCAGCCTAGTCCTTTCAGGATTCTTTCTAGTCCTTTTAGAATCCAGCCTAGTCCTTTCAGGATTCTTTGTAGTCCTTTTAGAACCCTTTCTAGTCCTTTCAGGATATTTTACAGCCCTAGTTCATCCTAGTCCAACCTAATCTATCCTAGTCCATACTAGTCCTTTCAGGATCCATTGATTCATCCTATTTAATTCAGGATTCATTGGGCCGTTGACTATTAATCGTTCAATTGATTCATTGGGCCATTGAACCATTGATCTTAGTTAGCTGTTGATCCATAGATGTATTAATCCATTGAGTCATCCTGGTCTATTGATGGTGAAGTAAAGTTTATGTGAAGGTTATGTAAATCTATGTATTCATCGACAGAAATGACGTTTAAAAGAGGTCGTTTATGTCTCCGTGTAAGTCCTGGGATAATAAGGTCAATCCAGGTCAAGTTGAGAGGTCAACTAAAGTGAAATGACCTCTTGTTAATAAAAATTGCATTCAGAAACTATACTTTCAACTTTCTAATAAGTCCTTTGTTTGAATATAGTGCAATCTCCTGAATCATGGTTGATGTTATCTTTTTCATATTTAAGTAAATATCAAGTTTATCTCATAAAGTCAGAGTGCATTTTAATTCTATTTTAACACAAGGGTGTGAATTTAAAATTGCATTTTTGCATTGTTTCAAACTAAATTAATTATGATGTCATCTCCCGCTTTAGCCAATTAATTGATTATTTTAATCCGTCGTAGATTAATTAGCATCTCTAATATAATTGGTTGAATTTATGCAGTTCGTCTAGAAGCTGCATTCCACTTATCTATGTCAAATCTACAGTTAACAGTTAGGAAGGGGGG